GTAATTCGTTCCCGTTGAATTGTTGTTAAACAAGAACTTCTGGCACAGCTTTTACACCTCACAGAATAGTTGGTTGTTTTTTTTTTTTTTTTTTTTTTTGCTTGACTAACAGCAATTGATCCGGACTGAAATATTTCAAATAAGAGAGAAGAGACTAAATAGACAGGTTTAATTTTGTTTTATTTTGCTCTATATACATACATTTATATTATTTCATATTATGAACAGGACACAGATTGATATGAAATTCTAAACAAAATATGTATACATACGTTTACCCATACACATTTGTATATATCCATATATTCTTCTCTCTTATCAGACAATATAGAGTTCATACATATCTACTTAATGCCTAGCTATTTCCATTTGACTAGTCTGAAAATGTTTCCACCTGAAAAAAGTAATTTAGTTTTAAAATGCATATGGGCTCGCCAACCCCTGATATGTAAGTGTGGAAGTGCTTAGTGTTTTACGAACTTCATAAATATTCGTTAGCGCAAAAAACCTTTACAGAAGATAAGAAACTCTTAATGAGAATGTCGCAACTCATATGCTCGTATTGATAGATTACACTCTTGTACTAAACCTTATTAAAGACAATTAAGGAAAAGCGCATTTAACTATATTATATATCCATGTACACTAATGAACAGCACGTATTACTCACTACTACTACTACTAACCCATATATCAAATTAACAGTTACTCAATAGACTCTAACTCCCGATAATTGTATTAGCATATTGAAGGTGAGCTTAATTAAATGAGGAAATGGAGAACGAAACAATAGCTGAAGTGAAAACAAATTTTTATCAGAGAAAAAAATCAAATATTTAAATTTATATATTTTTCAATTATTTAGTTATAATTTGCAAGCGGTTGCAATTAAGAAATTCCCAGAATTTGTGCAATAAAAAATCTGTGAGGTTTATATGATAGATATATACACTTGTCTAGTCTTGTCTTGATAACCTACATAGCTGTCTAGTTCTTGCTAAATATTTATGCTGATTAGCCATATACAAACGTGGGGTCAAAGAACTACAGTTATAGTTTCCCAAAAAAAAGGCAGTGCTGATAAAGTTAAAATTCTTTACTATATGTATATAAGAAAATACATTTCAGTCTGGATTTATTAACTTGCATATTACGCAATTGTCAATTATCCAGTGTTTGTTATTTTTTTCATATTAACCCAAACGACCCACATTGTTGACTTAGCAGCAGCTGTTTGTATTGACACAAGTGCATTTAACGAGTTATCCAATTATTTTGTTTCAGGCAATGGCAACACGTCGTAAAATCTGGAACGTTGCATCGAAAGACGAAGCCGTGCTCTGGCTGTGGGCAGCGCATAATGAGGTTAATCAACGTCTGGCCGGCGACGCCACCGAAGATCCGCAATTCCCAAAGCAACAATTTCCCAGTGCCAACAGCTGTGCCCAGTGCCGCAATGCGCCAGCAACCGGATCGCAAGATAATCTGTCAATTGACTGGAACAAGGATGCGGTCCTCAGTTTCCTGAAGAACATTCACAATCCGCAGTTTGTCAGTCGCTTTGGTGTCCAGCGGGCAGAGCTGCTGCACGAGACGCTGGACACGATGCGCCAGAAGCGACAGATCTCAAACGTCTTCTCCGACATGGATATGCGCATGGGCATGTTTCTATATGCCTTCTGCATTGTGATGATGGTGGTGGCCTTTAAGCTGTTCGCCTTCAAAGGCGGCTACCGCAAGAAGCCGTACGGACACGATCTACTGGGCAAAGTGTAATCAGATCCACGTCTTTCTAGAACAACAAACCACGCCGTGGCTTAGCTTCAATTCTAAAAAAGACAACACAACTAAACATAACTAAATCTAATAACGAACACCTCTGAATGTTCTTTTGTATGTAACTCACAAATAAGTTTAAGTTGAATGTGTGTATGTATATATCAATAATCTTCCAGTTGTATATCCTTTAACATAATGAACGAAAACAAATCGCTTTTATAAAATTACGTATCAAAACATAAACCTGTTTGCCTTTCTATATGTACGTATGTATATGAAATGACAAAATGTACGTACGATATTTTATCTGGAATTGAAATGGGAAGCTCTCCGGTAGTAACCAAACAATGTACAACATATGTCTTTGGTCTTGTCATCTGACTTGTATATTGTATACACGAGTGCATCACATATGAGATAAGGTCTCTTCAATGTCCCATAGAAGTTCATATTCAATCACCTTATTGTTACAGTAGCGACAGCATTGATAAAGATTTTGTTGTTCTGAAAACTGATATAGCTGACCCTAAGCTGACTTATGGACCAAGATTATATCATAGTATATTTAAATGTATATTGTTTATAGTTAGGAAATACGAAGACATTCTGCTAAGGCAATGCTAAACTAATCCTTATTAATAATTCTATATAACGAGGACCCCTGATCAAATTCATTTGCATCACGGAAATATATACATACATTAGAATACAAAGTATATTTCGAATTTTATTTAAGAAACCTTTTGAAATCTGGATGCCACCAAGGCAGAACTTTGTACTTTTCAATTCGTGAATATTTAACAGTGACACTCAAACTATTGCTGCTGCTATTGTCCTCGATAAAGTCCAACTCCAAGTTCTTGGCACGCATATCCGTGCAGAGCATCTCGCGTGTAGCCTTCAGCCGAAAGAGCGACTGTTGCTGATTGTAAAGCAGTTGTAGCGGCAGTGGCACAAATTGTCGGCATAGCACAATCAGTAGAACAACACCTTCATGGCGATAGGAGGAGTCAGTTAGGCTTGCAGATAACTCAGCATCCTCTGCCAACGCTTCCCAATCGTTGACCACTTCGTTGTCCGCCTGTGCCGATCCACCTCCATCTTCAACTAATCCTCTGGGCGCTGTTGCCTGTTGGTTTCGCAGTGCATAGCATATGACCCACAGGCATTGATACTGCTTCTGCGAGCAGGACATAAAGGTGCGATGCAGCAGCCAGTCCAGACTGTAGCCCAACTCCAGACGCGCTTTCAGTGGACTATAACAATGGTAAAGTGCTTCAATAACTTTAGCACGCAGCGTTTTCGTATCACAGTTACGTATTTGCTCCAGCTGCAATTGGGCAGGCAGCTCCAAGTTCCAGCCCTTGGCTGTGCTGCCCAAGCAATAGCGTTTGTACATATTGCGCCAGAAGACTCGAGAGCTCACCAGCTTGGCAGTTTGCTTGCAGAGTAAGGCAAAGGTCTGCACATCCTCCGGATCCAAGTGCATGGCTATTTGAAACCAAGCATCGTGTCCAATATCAAGTGTGAAACTATTGGCGTTCTCAGCCATTCCGGGAATTGGTGTCCTCGCATACGCATTGGATTTCTGCTTCAGCTCGACGTATACATCCGATTGACATGCATAGATTGCTGCGTTTTGAAAGATTTAACTTTTAATAGATAAATATAATTTAGAATAAACATTACATACCACATTTGCCACGGCTACGATATAATTTTTGGTGAATGTATTGTTCGCTTTCATCATCTAAAGTCATAATTTAAAATTTCTGTTTGCATTCCGAGCAAACCATACAGGGTAGCCCGTTGATAAAATTTAAGAATATATATATTGTATTAGTAGATACTATAAATAAGAATTGTGATATTTTAATTAAAATTAACATATATTTTGAATTGTCATATTATAATTTTATGTAAATGTAATGGAAATAATTATTGGTTTCATACACAGAAAGTTGCAGGTGTAACCCTTTTTGTTATTAAATTTGTGCTGTGACATTAATCAACACTGAATTTTGTTATCGATAATTGCCATGCTACTGCCATTGCACGTTGTTTATAAACATTACAGATTTCATTAAAAATGCCTATAGATTGCAAAGCCAAATGTGGCAACAGGGCCAGTTTAAAGGTAAGTGATGCAGTGCTATAATAATATTTAATATTTTAATCGATATTTTCGCAGCGGCCTAAAACCGGCGATGCTTTGTGCAAGGACTGCTTTTTTGCCGCATTTGAGGCTGAGATCCATCATACAATTACTACCAGCAAGCTTTTTAGGCGCGGCGAGAAGGTTGCAGTGGCCGCCAGCGGTGGCAAAGACTCAACAGTTCTAGCGCATGTGTAAGTCTTAAGCTTAGGTTACCTTATTCCTTTGCTAAACTCTTCAATTTCAGTTTAAAATTGCTCAATGAGCGCCATAATTATGGGCTAGATTTGGTGCTGCTCTCCATTGATGAAGGTATCACAGGCTATCGGGACGACAGTCTGGAAACGGTTAAACAAAATCGTGATGACTATCAAATGCCACTGAAAATCCTCTCCTATGAAGAGCTTTACGGCTGGACTATGGATCGAATTGTGGCGCAAATAGGTCGCTCCAACAATTGTACATTTTGTGGAGTTTTTCGTCGCCAGGCCTTGGATAGAGGAGCAAAGCTGTTGGGTGTGGACAGCATTGCCACTGGCCATAATGCCGATGACATTGCAGAGACTGTGCTAATGAATATTCTGCGAGGCGACACGGCTCGATTGCGTCGTTGCACGGATATTCGCACGGGCGGTGGTGAGGACTCCATACCCCGAGTGAAGCCACTCAAATACAGCTACGAAAAGGAGATCGTCATGTATGCGCACTATAAAAAATTGGTTTACTTTTCCACCGAGTGCGTGTTTGCGCCAAACGCATACCGAGGACACGCACGAGCCTTTCTCAAGGATCTGGAAAAGGTGCGGCCCTCTGTTATAATGGACATTATATATTCGGGCGAACAACTGCGGTTCAAGGATACCGTGAAGAAGCCCGTCCGCGGCAATTGCGAACGCTGTGGCTTTGTCTCCTCGCAGCAGCCATGCAAGGCATGTGTGCTCCTAGAAGGACTTAACCGAGGGCTACCCAAACTGGGTATAGGCAAGAAATCAAAGGGCGATCGAATGATTGCTAAACAGAACCAGGAACTAGCTTTAAGGGAACGTGCTAATCTAGTAAAAAACGATTTTTAATTTCAACTGTTTCTTTATTGAATGTATTTACATTTACAGCGTATTGCCATGGATAAGCTTTTCCAACACTTCCAGCACCTGAAAAAGAAGATGAAGTATAAGTATTTGCTCATAAAGCACAGAGAGGAGTTATTTATTATAAGAGCTCAGTGCCAAATTATTAACCATGGGACATAACCGGTTAAGCAAGACTCCCTTACATCAAAAGAATATTGAAGAAGTTTGTCAGCGCTTAACGTTTATATGCTGTCAGTGAATGAATTAAGTGTTCATCATTGCAAATGGAACCCGATGAAAGCACTCGGTCAAGCAATACTTACCTAAATTAGGTATTCTCGTCCAGGTTGATGTATGGCAGACAGTCTACATGAGGTTTACAATTACCCGTTACATGATTGCATAACCTACAAATAAAATACTTGGTTAAAAAGTGCTTAGAACAAAATACAATATAATTTTAAGGACAACTTCAGTTGTTAAAACAGTTGAAATCACAGTGATTCATTCGAGGTGTCAGAAAATAATTTACTCATCAGACAAACTTTAAAAATTTTATCCTAAAAATATAATATCTCACCTTAGGTTTTTCAGTGGCATTTTAGTTACGACTACACTGATAGTGTCCCATTTTTTCTGTAAATAGAGAAAATATATATAAGCAAATTTGGAATGTAATTAGATATAAAGTGGTGTATTTCATTAAAAAGATGTCGGCTTCGCGAAAAAAATATGCACCGCAAATTCTGTATATAATAAATTTGGGTTATGCTTGGGCGAAGCGCATTTGCTCTGCGAACAGAAAAAAAGCACTAGCTAAAGTGGAGATTGTCTTTACACCAGCGACTCAAGTTCGCATGATAGAAAACTACATACAGAAAAATTATTCTTACCAATTTCAAATATGTATTTTAGAGCCTGCCTTAGCCGGCGATTGCAGTAACAGTTCACCTATAAAACAGAAAGACCTTTCATTAAAAATGAAATCTTAACATAATGAGAAAAATATAAATTGTACAGCCGTAGGAACGTAGACCCAAGCCACGTGACTACAATTTTATTTATAGCTGACTTGGGGTAATTTTCCTGTACTCAAATTTGCTTTTGCAGCTTTGAGTTCTGTAAAAAGGCTTGTTACACACTTATCACAGTTATAATTGCTGCAATATTCATTTTCGTCGCTGCAATTTACTTACATCTTTTAAATTCAACTGAAATAGTGTAACACGTTCTACGAACAGAATAAAAGTGACGGATGCTGGCAAAGTTGGCTGCACCACTCAGAAACAGAGTTGCATATTTCCTCAATGAATTGAGTCGACCAATACATTTCGATTAGTTTTTAATGTTACCCTGACTCACACATGCATTTCTGACAATTTATAACTGTTCTTCTCTCAAATTTCGTCTTGGTGTGCGGTTCTCAGATTTTAAGAAATTTGATTTCTTTTTTTTTTGAGCAGTTCATTTACGATAATAACTCAGAATGACTTCGTTCAGCTCGCCAGATATTTTGATGCCACTCGGTAATATAGAAAGGGAATACCACAAATATAAAAAATAATTTTGAAAATTATATTTTATTCTGAAATAAAAATTTTTTCTAGACGACTATTACGAGCAGTGTGTTATACCTAAACCGAATATTCCTAAACATTATGGATTCCATGTAGAAAAGAGACAACGACAAGCGGCTCGTTTGCAATCTTATAAGGAAAACCCGGATGATGAAGACGAGCTTGAAGATGAGGAGGAAGAACAGATGGAAGAGCTAAATTCTTCCATAGAGGATTCCAATAGGAATCAAATTTCGTTTGAAATTAATGACTTCAATAAGATTTATGAAGAAGCTGAATCGCAAAATTCCACAAATAATGCAGCTATAGAGCCAAAAACGGAAATTCCGGCTTCTTCGGCGCAGTGGCGCATAACACCAATTAATGTGAATCGTCCCCAAGGAGCTGCACCTTTGGTTCCGATGGATGCTCCGCGTGATAACCCAAAAACTTTAGGCTACCGCTATCATAATAGAAAGCATATGAAACGTCGCAATTATCGCTTCAACAGTAACAATAACAACAGTCAGCAAAATAACAACACGAATACATTTAATCGTAACAATTCTGTACACAGCCGTCTAGGCCACATTCCGAACCGTAATCAACAGCGTGGTAAAAAATGGATTCATGGATTCAAAAACAAACCAGAAAATAACCGCAACAACAATAATAATAAAAATTACAATAACAATAACAATACCAAAAATAATAATACCAACAATAATAATCAGCAAGAGCAGAAGGTATTAATGAATATCGATGGCCATTTTCCAAATACTCGCTCGCAGCTTATTGTGAGCTCCTCATTAAATTCGAATCCATTTGCTAGCTCAGGCAATAATCTGAACAACAATTGTTTTCAATCTTATCAACAACAAGCCAACGCCAATTGGCAATTGGGCTCCAATTCGTTAACTGCACTTATAAACTCAGCTAATCAAATTCGTCCTTCCGTTGATCAAGCATCGGGAATGCAAAATATTAATAATAATAATAATATGGCCAATAATAAAAATAATACTCTAATGAATAATAACTATTTGCCTATTAATAATAACAATATGAATAATAATAATATAATTAATAATAACAATATGGCTGACAATAATATAAATAATATGGCCAATATTAATAATAATATTGCAAATCGTTTGGGTTCAAGAATAGGAACCAATTCCAATATATTGCAACAGTCTAACAACGGCCTATTTGGAAATGGAATGAACCAGGTAAACCGCAACCAACATGGTTGCAGTATTGCTTCGGATTCACTACGTCTGGCAGATCTTATGAATTTGGATGCGAATAGCTGCATTAATTTAAATGTGGCCGAAGTGGCCAGGAATGCGATGATCTTGTTAAGCACTGTTGTTCACAAGCCTATGTTGGATGTGGATGTACAGCAGCAGCTGTCGAATTTGCAGGTAAATGTTTTTTTTTATCTATGAATATACCCAATGAGTTACAATTATTTTGCAGAACAAAAACATTGGGCTCGACAATGAACCAAATGGAGTCGACATGAACATTCGCCCACAAGCCACTGAATTGCGAATGTATCATCGGTTCAAGTAGACACCTCTTGACTGGCCAATACCAATTATTTGTATCTTTAAGTAATTTTGAAAATGACCGCATAAGTTTCGTTCCAGGCGAATGGCTACAAATGCGCTCAATGTGAATATTGCGTAGGCGTATGTTTATAAGAAGAAGAATGCGGCAACCGTTGTGAATGTCAATTTGTTGGCACACAAACACATAGCCAAATGACTGAAAGTAAATGTATTTTTTTTGTTTTATTATTATTATTTTTGGCTGATAAGAAAAGGCCGTACCGCTTATCAGCAATGCACAACAAGAACTAAGCTGTCAGTAAAGAGATGTAAACCGACAGCGAACAAAAATAGAAACAAAACAGCGATAAGTGACGGCGAAACGAAGCGAGTATTCATACACGAGAGTTGTGACGACTACGAACAAGCTGGAATATCAATCAATCAGTAAATCTAATAAAGAGTAGGAAAGTGGACGTAAAATACAAAAAACGTTCAATGGCTACGGATAACGCGTGTTCATTATGACAAATAATCTTTAGTTTTTATTTTACACATAATAACCTCCAATTTGCCAAAATTGTACATTACTCAATGTATGAGAAAAATAAAAGCACAGATAACTGTAAACAAAAAGTGGCTCAAAAGGAAATTTGTTTTTTCAGCGTTAAATGAACTGCAACATATTTTAGTTAAGAATATCAAAGAATTTATGTAGAAAACAAGTTTAAGTTTCATGAAATAAATGCTATTACATTCAACTACACTCAGCATGTTGAAGTCCAAGCAATTGCTAAAACAATGGGTAAAAGGTAATTGTACTTTGTTTAATTTTTCATTTATAGCGCGCAATTTGACTGTGAAATCTTATTTATTTAATTTGGCTGTTTGTTTTTTTTGAATGTCTTCTTTGTTCGCGTTTATATATATCAGTATATATTATATACTTGGCTTTTTTAATTACGCTTCCGTTTATTATCAGCTATAGGGTCTGGAGCATGTGATTGTGAGAAATCATTTTTACTAAAAGATTATCTACAAAAATCTACTTAATTATTATTTTGATTGCTATTCAACTAATTTCAATGTGTAAACACAGCTTTTAGAGCAATAAAACTAAAACTGTCAATTAGTATAGTATTTCGAAATTCAAATAGTGCTCAAAAATTCTGTCAGGCTTAGCAAAATAATAATAATAATATAATTCATTATTTAACTTAAATGTCTTACGTTTGTCCAGAATGTGCGAGCTTTTCGCCTGCAAATTTTAAACTGAAACGCGCCTTGATTGTGTCGAAGCTTTCACGGTATGAGTTTGAGCAAATGCGTCATCCGGATCTCTCGCGGGAACAGCTGGAGCAGAAGCTACGAGATCGCGGCACCGATGTGGAGAACATGCTCTACTTGCATAACCTGCACAAGGATTTCGAGCGGCGCATCGTACGCAGCTTCAGGAATGTTGGCTGCGAGGTAAAGCTGTCCAGCAGGTGGGTAGATGAGATGTTTTGTGGAACCTCTTACAGTACAGTGCACCTATCAATTTATATATTATATATATTGATTGTGTGTGGCCTTGTTGTGATTGTGCTTGATGTGTGTTCCATAAATTGATCGATCGTCATTGTCATCCAACTACAAATTTTGTTGATTCCCGCCATCCACATAACGTGTCCCTGTTTGCGGCTGCTGTTTGACTTTATTAAACAAGCAGACTTGAATTTAGAAGCTCTCTGAGCAAGGATGTGATGAGCTGGGCTGATGTTATTGTGCCCGTTGGCGGCGATGGCACCTTTTTGCTATCAGCGAATCGTGCCAGTCCCCTCTTCGCCCTAAGCCAGCAGAAAACACCGATTGTTGGCTTCAATTCCGACCCACAGCACTCGGAAGGACGCCTGCTGCTGCCCAAACACTACTCCGAGAATCCCGAAGAGGCAGTTAATCGCATTAAATGCGTAAGTCTTTACTCCATAAATTTAATCAACTTTTCGCTAATGTGGATCTCTTTTATTTGTTATTATAGGGCGACTTTAAGTGGGTGCATCGATCACGCATTCGCACCACCATGCTGGGTAACAATGGCGCCATACCCGAGTCCACGGATCTATTCAGGCATACAGCGGTTAAAATGGAGCAGGTTGATACAGCGCCAGAGGAATTGGATTGGAAAATGGCTGACAAGTATAAAGCTAAAATGAAGCGAATTCTACCGTACTTGGCGTTAAACGAGGTAATAATGGAATTTAGTTTAGCAAAACAAATCAATTTAGCTAATCGTCTCATGCTTTGTCGTACAGGTCTTCATTGGAGAACAACTTTCGGCACGCGTGTCGCATTTGCAGCTGGTGCTCAATCACCAGAATGTGGTTAATAAAACAAAATGCTCGGGTCTGTGCGTCAGCACAGGCACAGGGTCCACTTCGTGGCATACGAGCATCAATCGGATTACCAGCAGCGATGTGGAGGATATGCTCCAATCACTTCCCAATAGCTGTGCACCGCATATTCTTCAATTGCGCGCAAATGTTGAGGAAATCGCTCAGCGCTACAATCAGGGACTGCTTTTCCCACCTGATGATCCGCGTCTATGCTACTCCATACGGGAGCAGATCTGTGTGGGCGTTTGGCCATCACCAAAGACATTTAAGGCACGGGACTTTGTGCAGACCGTGTTTATAAAATCGCACTGCATGGATGCCAGTGAGTAACAAGGAGCTAAGTCCAAGCTGATTGAAACAACCATTGAATTCGTCTTCCTTTCCCTATTCAGGTCTGGTCATTGATGGCAGTATCTCGTATCCATTTAACGATGGCGCCAAGGTGCTGCTCGAGATTCATCCAGAGGATGCGCTGTTAACCATCGCCCTAGACTGAAAAAAACTTAAAACACTGAACCCAAGTGCCTGCTTCACATATAAATTAAAGGCTGCTACAGCTGCATTTTTTTAATACGTCTGAATTGAAATTACGTACATATTTATATGCGGAACTGCTTATTAGTTGTAAGCTCAAAAGTTATTTGTTATTAAACTACACAGATACATATATGTTAATGTATATATACATATAGACATAAGCATTGAATTCACTTTATATTTGATTTTGATTTTGATTTTGATTTCGTTTTTGCTTTGCTTGAGTTTGCTTTTTGTAGTTTTTGTGGTGTCTTTTGTTCGGTCGTATCATCTGCTGAGCGTTTCTTAAATTTCTTCTCGAACCGCGCAGTGTCTAGAGAATTGAACCGTTCATCATTTAGCACAGCCTTGCCCTCCTCGCTGGCGCTCATTTCCGCCCTTTGTTGCTTACGTTTGCGGCGTATTTCCCGCAGCTTTTCCTTTTGTTTCTTGCGATAACTGCAAAGGAATTGAAAGTGAATTAGATATATTTTCTAGTCAATGCTTGGATTACTCACAGTGCCTCCATTTCATCAGGATCCTTGCCCTCCATAATCCACGTTTTTCGTCTGTAGTTTTGGGCACGCTCATCGAAGTCATTATTATCCAGTTGCATTTCTGATTCACGTCTTGTGACATTCACTTGCATGAATATACGTTCCACCATGCGTTCTAAGGGAAATAATTCAATTAATACAGAAGGTTGTTCAAAAAGATCAATCAACGTACGATCTATGGGATGCTCTGTTAGCTTGCAATTAATTTCAGCTTCAATGGCACCAAGCAATTCAAGGTCGCGTGGGAATCGAAATATGGATATAGCCAAGCCTTTGCGACCAGCCCGCGCCGTCCGTCCCACACGATGAATATACTCCTTGGGCGTACGTGGCAACATATGATTGATCACTAGCTGCACACTGGGTATATCCAATCCACGTGCAGCTACATCTGTAGCAATCAGCGTGCGTATGTGATTGGACTTAAAGCGACTTAGTGCAGCAACTCGTTCCTTTTGTCGCATAAACCCATGTAGGCAGACATTCTCAATTTCCATGCTGGCGAGCGTCATCGAGAGCAATTGGCAATATCTAGTTAAGTACACAACAATTTAATATCTGTAATATCTTGCACATATAGTAAACTCACTTCTTTGTATTGGTGAAGATCATGACATTCGCATTTTCGTTTTCTTCTCGAAACTTTCGCAGCGCTTCAATGAGCACCATATCACGGTCGTAGTCAGCGCACAGCAAATACCGCTGTTCAAGTGTCTCCACCGTAGCCACGTCCGACTCCTGGGACCATTCCATTAACTACATTATAGAATAATAAAATATAATAATCGATGAGAAATTGTAGATTTACTTGCTTACATCTTTGGAAATAGGAAATATGCTTGACTCCTTCATAAAGTCCTTCATGGTAGCAGAGAAAAATAGATTCTGTCGGGTCTTAGGCAAGCAGCGTTCGATTATGGCCAGACTCTCGTCGAAATCACCATTCAGCATGCGATCTGCTTCATCCACGACCAGAAATTTGAGATTATCGAACGAGAACGTATCACAACCTGTTAGATGATCCGCCAGTCGCCCGGGCATTGCCACAACAATGTGCGGTCTCTGCATTAGCTTTTGGCTCTCTATCATCTGATCTGTACCGCCGGAAACAACACACACGCGCACCCCCATGGGCTGACCAGCGACGAGAAACTGTTCGGAGATTTGATAGGCCAGTTCATGCGTGGGTGTTAGCACTAGGGCGAAATGACTGACTGGCTCCTCGCTCAGCTTCTCCAAAATCGGCAGAGCAAAGGCAAAGGTTTTGCCTGAGCCTGTTTTAGCTGCACCAATACAATCCTTACCAGCTAAAATTGGTGGTATACAATTCTCTTGAATAGGCGTTACTCCCTTAAGACCTGTTGAATAAAAAATACGATGTTAAGCTCTCTTATATATTCTATTTATATAATCATGTTGCTTACCTAATTTGGTCAACTGCTTGGCCAGCCATGGCCGCAAACCAAGTTTCAGAAATGGATTTGGGTCCTTTCGCTGCATATTTATACTACGATCAAAAGCAACAATAAAAGCAACGTGCAGCTGACCAGGGCCACAAAATTATCGTCTTCGATAGCCGATAGGTAATGGATCTATCGATAAATCGAATATGTTGCAATTAACGAATAAAAACAAAACACCGATTATTAGTACACTTCGTTTTTCTCTGATGAAATACGCATTTTCGCAAATTGTATAAATAATGATTAATCTGATAAAATAGAAGTTGAAGATTTGATATATTAGCTAGACACAATCAAATACAAAGAACAGTCGCAATAAAATGGAAACAGAATCAGAAGCGGAATCAACACAACCAACCGAAACATTAAACGTTCTGTGTGGAATTTGTAATGAGTTTTACAAAGCGAATGATATCATATTTTCAACAGCCAGTTGCGGTCATGTTTTCCACAAGAACTGCCTTAGCCGTTGGCTATCCCGCTCTTTAAGCTGTCCCCAATGCAGGGCCATTTGCCACCGTCAGCGTGTGCATCGCATTTATTTGAATTTCGCCGAAAACACCGAAGTAGAGGAAGTAGAACGCTCTCAGATTCAATGGGTGCCCCTTGATTTGGATGAACCAGTGCCGCCCACCATGCTCGATGGTGCTGTCCAATGTGGCACTGATCATGAGGGCCTCGATACATATGTGGCGCGCGTATATTTGCATGAGGATTTGCTCCCCGCTAATTACGTGCCGCAAAAGAAAGCCGTATACGCTCCCTGGAACTGCAGTGCACATCTGCTGAACTCAGAGGTGGAGCTATTAGTGCTAACGGACTGTGAACTTAAATGGGTGGCTGCAGCAAATGGTGAAGTGCCACCAGGTGGCCTTAAAACTGGTTACTCGGAACTCGGTGAGCCGCTTTATACTGCTCGCTCTGAGTATATGGGACAGACCCTGCTCGGCAAAGTGCATCCATCCCATCGAGTTATATACATGCCCTATCAACGGGACGAGGTTTCCAATAGAAACTACGAGGTACTGGTTGTCACGCCTAAAGAACAGGCCGAGCGTTGATTCCAATTGGTCCAACTTGAACGGCTTACTGTCCAATTGGTTTATTGTTATTCAGTTTTACTTTTAATGATCCGCTTTAAAGAATCTTAATATTTAAAAGCTCTAAATAAAAGTCTTGGAAATATATTTATTAAAATTGTTATTGTTAGACTATGTATTTGTATATTAGTACACATAAATATATATGTATATGTGTATATATGAACTATTGTTTAAACCTTTGTTATACTTAAAGTACGTATATCTGACGAATTTGTGGTCACAGTTATTTACCATGCTTAGCAGCTTTGTTGCTTCATCCAATTCGTCACAATAATAATGCATTTCGCTTCTTTCCAGAATTATTTATAATAATAACTTTCTTTAAAGTCTGCATGTGTTATACTTATGTAATATTTTCTTTAATAAATTTTCATTCTCTGAATCGCAACATGACATTTTGTTATATATGTATGTATGTATATATATAGCTAAAATATAACGTGGGTAACGTGCATGTAACATTTAAACAACATAATTTTCTCATTTTATTCATACAATTATATTAGAAATAGGATTTTTGTTTCATGTTTATGACTTTTGTACTTAGTTTCTAACAAAATTTTTATAAAACATGTTTTTCTGTTTATTTGTGTATGTGTATCTATATATATTTATGTGTGTGTGTGTGAGTGTATGCATGTATGTTGGGATTTATATACTGATCGATCCGTCGTCGATAACAATAGATATTTACATTTTGTTTATGGATAAGCATAAATTGATTCCGATTTATTTTATATAAATGTATATATAAATATTCTCTCGATTTAAAATTGGTACTTGAGCCTATCTTGATTTGTGTTTACGTTTGATTTAATTTCATATTTGTTGTATTTGTTTGTTATTTGAGGCGGGGAAATTGGAGATTAGATGCAAAATGGCCACGAGTTAGGTTCAAAACATTTGAGCTCAATTTGTAGATTAGAAACAGTCTCTACTATATTGTAAACAACATATTAAATGAACGGCACAATTATAAACTATACAATTGAATAGGTGGACTTAATATCCGATATATACTCGTACAAAAAATTCAAATATTCTAATACATAATGATATTTAAATGAAAAGCAAAAAAGTACTAATTGATTACTTGAGTGCAGGAAGAGAAGAGAGAGAGAATTGGGCAGCTTTTTAAAACGTTAGAAACTAAATCTCGTTGCAGACTTTCAATTTTAAAACAAATATTTTACAATCATACTCGTGCTTATTTTGTTGCTTGTTTTTGTAATCACTCCATGCATTTGTAGTTTCTGGTGATGCGACGATGACGACCACGCTGCTGTGGCTGTTGAGCTCTTTTGCAGCGTGCTCGTAGTTCTCATTTCTGTGAGGATAGATAGTTCATATATTGTGTTGTCTGTTGCGCATTGCGCACCAGCTCACTCTCATCTTTGTCACCATCCCCATGCCAGTTGTCAACATTCGATTGTGGTTTCTGCTGCTGTTGTTGTTGGTGTTGTTGTTGTTGCGGATTTGGCTCCTGCGGCTGGTGTATGTTGGGCTGTGAACGACGTGTAAAATTGCGATGGCGTTGCGGTTGATGCGGATGCTGATTTTGATGTGGATGCTGATGTGGACGTGACGATTGCTGGCGACGATCAAAAGTGCTCGATGCCTCGCTGGCTAAGCTGCTCTGACTGCTGTATCGCGGAAAATTGCGAGGTGCGCCTCCAGCACCACGCGTTGGGCTCTGGCTGTAACGATAGCTCGCGCTTGACTTCCTTCCACCATCGTCCATTTGAGATTTGGGCGGACGTGGCAGCGTCCGTGCACGCGAAGAGCTGCGACTGTTCGACTCTGGTCCATTCGAATTGTAAGCACAATTCTCATCCTGATATGCATTATTAATGGCTGTATTTGAGCGACGCCAAGTTTCACTGTGGATCTTTTGCTGTTGTGGTTGTTGCTGCTGCTGCTGTTGACTTTGCTGTTGCTGCTGCTGCTGCTTCTGGAAACGAGGCGGTTTGTCGTACGTGTTGCGATTGTGATTGTTATAGCGTCCACCGCGTTTGTAGCTATTTCCACGCTCATAATTACTTATGTAGGAACGTTCGCTTCGATCGTCGCGTTGATCCCAATTGGAGTTCACAATATTATTATAATTGCTGCCGCCGCCCAGATTGCGCTCGTATCGTTCCTCCGAATGCTTTCTACGATCATCTATGCTGTACAGGCGCAAATTACCACCGCGACCCTCGCTGCGCACACTCTGATGATCGTCATCGCAGCTGACACTGTAGCGGCGCTGTTGATCGTGACGGGAACGGCCATTCGACTGATCGCCGTCATTGCCACGATTGAAACGTGTCTTGCGCCAGCTTGGTAGCGGCTTTGACTCATCGCGATCCTCGCTGCTGGCCATAGATGCATACTGATCGGAGTTGACATTGCTGCAAGAAAGTCCAAAGTGAAAGATTGAGCTCCAGGATTCTTTATGGATTACTTACTTTGCATGTGCCGTCTGAGCTTGGGCCTGCTTTAAGGGACGTGGCACATGTCGGGGCTGATAACCACGTCGGGCTTGGCGGCTGGAACTGGGCAAGCCACATTCATAGGTACTGCCAGCGTTATCGAACAACTTTTGCTGCTCATCTCCATTGGCCGGTGTCTCGCCATAAACAATGTCACATAGTGAATCTTCACAGACCTGCTCACTCCATTTCTTGGGCACCTCCTGGGCCGAGGTGTTAGCGCTGCTGCCGTTCTCCTCGTCGCTGTAACAGGTGGCCGCACTTTGCCCGCTGAAAGAGTCGGTCTGTGGCTGCATGTCGGCTCCATTGCTGTTGCTGTTGCTGCTGTTGTTATTGTTGCTGTTGTTGTTGTTATTGAAGCCATTATCCTCGTCTTCATCGATGGCCAAATAGTTTGTGTACATGGCTTCCAGCTCTTGGCCGACATTCTTGAAATGGCTATAGAACAAGTCAAGCACCATTAGCAGCATCGCCTTTACTTTGTCTGTCAGCGCTGGCTGCATGATCAGATGTCGCCGGACATGGTATAATAGCTGATCGATTTCTGTCTTGTGGCGGGTGCGCATTATTTCACCATTGAGTGTGATCTGGGAGAGCACTAAGCGGGCTAGGCGCGTGCTCATCACCACGGAAACATCGTTTATTTCGCGCGTTAACAAAGTGAGGAGTGAATCGCCCAGAATTGTGATTGGAGCATTGTTCGCAAGACGAACTCGATTGTAGTACTCGCCCAGCAACGTTATAGAGTTGTACAATCGATTCTTATCGTGCTGTCGGTACGCATCGGCATTGATGTAGTTCGTCTCCAGGATCTTAAGCATGGCGCTGCGCACTTTTGTCTCGTTCATAGCAAGGGCGTCAAAGTTGCGCGAGGAGAACAATAAAGCAAACTTCAGTGCTGTCTCAGCATCCAATAGGGCTTTGTTATTCATGTACTCCATGGATTCACTGCAATGGTATTTAAAGAGATATGTTATTGTTTTCGCTGTGAACGTGTTGAACTTGGTCATACAGTTGGGAACCGGTTATATCTGTATGCTGCAGCCCTGATTATGATAAAGAAAGGGGCTTTATATGGATAACAATTGTGTGTTGACATTGTGCAAAAACAAAAGTTAAAATGACATTAATTAAAGTTCAAAATACTGTTACTAGCTGAAAATTTCACTCAATCGAACTAATTACTTATGTAGAATAGGCAAATACAAACATGCTTAATAAGCCGATTAACAATAATTTCTTTGTAATAATTCAAGGGTATTTAGTCTTCGAGAACATACTTCTTGTTTATCCAATTGGCGGGAAATTTTTTTTCTTTTTTCTGATTTCCACTCTCTTGCTCACAAATCTCTTAGTTCTAAAAATTTTAAGTGAATTGCGACATCGTTTTACAGATAGTTGTAAATATTAATACTGGCTCTCACGTATACAAATGTGTCTGTATCATACATACACGGAAATAAATGTACGTCTACAGAAGCTATACATACTTATTCATATACATACATATATACTTATGTATTAATCATCAATGGACAACGATGCAAATACAGACATACACACACACACACACATTCACACCAATAAAAACAGCAAATGTACATACCATAGCATCGACTCGTCGCGCACAATGTTGCAGAAATCGGTTTCGATAGCCTTGATTTTGTTGTTAAGGACAATGCCGTCGTCCTGCAGATTAAGGCCGCGCATCATCGTTATAATGTGATCATACACACAACCACCTGTTGGTATCATATAGCTGCTCGGAGCGCCTGTGTTGAGCATGTTACAAACTTCGCGAAGCGTTTGCACCTCGCTGCCGCCGCCACCGTTGCTACCACTGCTGTTGCCGCTGTCAGCACTAACACTGTTGTAATTGTTGTAAGTGTAGGCGGTGGTGTTGCTGTTGCTGTTACTGTTGTGATTGCTAGTAATCATATTTGTATTAGCCATTTCGCTGGGATCGCTGGCGCAAACGTTGTTGTTGTTTTTATTACTGTTCTGTTTCTTGCTGCTGCTACTGTTGTTGTGCTTTGCGTTTTCCACTGGTTCTTGTTCTGTCAGCGCTAAGAGAGCCAACTTCTCTATGTATTTGTGTGTGCTGGTCCACCAACAACAATAAACACTTGGAACTTATTATTTTGCGCAAATAAGCGTTGACAAAGGTGTCCAAATGCGCATAAAATTTCACCTTTCATTTACTTTGCGCACCAACATGGAACTTACCCAAGTATCTGTGTTCTTAAGTTGTTAACGTGCAAACTAAATTAAATGCACAAAATAATTAATTTATATTTTATTTGACTTATTTTTCTACCGAATTAATTTACAACGAATGCGTTTGGTTCGCAGTGACCATTTGCGTGAACCAGGAACTAGTTAACGAATCAAAAATCGTGAATAACAAACCTGTTAACGGGCTGTTATCGTGCAATGTATTTACAGATATGCACGCAATGTTATTTGCCGTTACATTTAAAAATAATTGTGTTCGAACAAGAAGAGCCACCTAATTCAAATAATAATTTTATGCTAATTTACAGGGAAAGCGTGATTTGATATTTTGTTATTCAGACAAAAATTATATATTTTTAATTTGTACTTGATTTTGACATTTTTAACAATGTATTCATTCTATCAGCATTCAATATAGGTATTCTATGTTTAATTGAATGTCATGTAAATGGGTTCAAATGTGTAATCATAGTTTTTGCCCTCGATGAATTCCAGTAAAGGATGTTCACCGATTTTAGAATATATCCAAGGTTTTCTCTATAAATAAATAAATATTAAACAATTAGTATACTAGCTATTCTTATAATAAAAAATACTTACAGTACAAACACAAGTATTTTGGAATAAATTGACCTGCAAAAGCTTTTTACGCTTCTCACCTATTTTAGCTGCGATAAATTGGTAGTTATCAAATGTAAAAACACATTGCTCAAAGCTAACAAACTCGATGTTTGCAATGTTGTGCATAAGATTGTTAAAATATCTCTTTTCTTGAATACAACAGCTTTTAAAAAACAATTGATTTAGATATTCAAAGCAGCTTGGCGAAAAGTAACCCAGGTCTTCCAATAGATAATTATCTGTAACGATTTTTAGTTTATCCACGCGTAGCTTTGATTCAATTACAGTGCACAACGTGTCAGTGGTGTTGCATGTTTCCAATATTTTGAAATGATGCTTTTCAGTTATAGAGCCCAGCTTGCGGCATAGTAAAGGAAGTATGCCCATAAGTCCAGGACCAGAAATGGTCAGCTCGTTAAGGCAATCAAGTGTTTCCAAGTGGTCTTCAAACCACGGCAACTCATCAATTTCCACTTTAATAGACTCGAGATTAGCCAATGAGTCTGCGGGCAGACATATAGGAGTTTTTTCGATAGTCATGCGATCAAAAAGACAAAGCTTGATTTCTTTTAATTTACGTACTTTCATAACGTTTGCTAGATTTTCAACACTGAAGTGCTGGCAATAAGTCAATGTTAGGCGCTCTAATAATGGGAAATCGGTAAAATATCTGCCCGAAAAACTCCCTTGAGGACTAAATTCTTTTAAATTTGGAAACGTCATGATCAATTTTGGTATATCCGAATCGGAGAGCAATCTACTTGGCACAGTTGCAAACCGAAAATCGTAAACTTTTGGAAAAATGAACTCAAGGAGCACCATATATTGCTCCGCAGACATCATTCTCAGATGCATCACTTGGACAGTTTTGGAAATGCTTTGAAAGAAATATCGCAAGTCGTCGATGGAAAATTTTGCTTCGAATAAAGACATCTTGACTTTTTTATACTGTGAGATCCAGACAATCGGCATCAAATTGAAGAAGCGTGGATGCAAATTTAACATGATTTGTTGCGATTTAATATCTAAATAGCTCAGTATGCGAATGAGTACATCATCGGTTAAAGATTCCATTTTTTCTTTTTTCTAAAAATGAAGAGGGAAATTGAAAATTTTAACGAAAAAAGCTACAATTTATATTTTTACTTTTAGCAATAGCAATTTCCTTCCAATTCTCCTTCAGCACCCGTTAGGTGACAGTAATAACTGACAGGACAGCTCGGTTTTGCGTTCGCAACCAACTTCGCGCGACTGATGCTTGCAATCGACCTATTAGAGACGATGAAATCAAACAGCTGACTAAATGACGGTCTGGCAACGCGCACGGTTTTTCAGGTAATCGCGACACAAATATTTTATAAACATGCAGAAATATGATAAAATGGAAAAGATTGGTGAGGGCACTTACGGCACGGTGTTTAAGGGCCGCAATCGGGATACTATGGAAATCGTGGCACTAAAAAGAGTACGCTTAGATGAAGACGACGAGGGAGTGCCTAGTTCCGCGCTGAGAGAAATATGCTTACTGAAGGTTTGTTTTACAACTATTAACAGAGAGAGATCTGCTCTATGTTTTTGCTATATATTCACGTAACGTCACAATCTCACTTAGGAACTGAAACACAAAAATATTGTTCGACTCTGTGATGTGCTGCACTCCGATAAAAAGTTGACATTGGTATTTGAGCACTGCGATCAGGACCTGAAAAAGTACTTTGACAGTTTGAATGGAGAAATCGATATGGCAGTTTGCCGAAGCTTTATGCTGCAACTGTTGCGCGGCTTAGCCTTCTGTCACAGGTGGGTGCCATGCATATGTATATATCACCAGTTATAATTGCCATTTTACTCAATTTCTCCATTTTAGTCACAATGTGCTGCATCGGGATTTGAAACCACAAAATTTGCTCATCAACAAGAACGGAGAACTGAAGCTGGCTGACTTTGGATTGGCACGCGCCTTTGGCATACCTGTGAAGTGCTATTCTGCCGAGGTGGTAACGCTGTGGTATCGTCCACCTGATGTGCTTTTCGGTGCCAAACTCTATACGACGAGCATCGATATGTGGTCAGCAGGTTGTATATTAGCTGAATTAGCTGATGCAGGACGTCCGCTATTTCCTGGTTCCGATGTACTTGATCAATTGCTGAAAATATTCCGGGTGCTTGGCACACCAACTGAGGAATCTTGGCCCGGTGTCACACATCTTTCCGACTATGTTGCGCTTCCATGTAATTTTAGAAAAGCAATCGTAATTTATTACATATGTACTACTAAAACTTGATTTTGTAGCTTTTCCACCAATTACATCGTGGAGCCAACTTGTACCAAGACTGAATGCTAAGGGCCGTGATTTACTTCAAAAACTCCTAGTTTGCCGTCCGAATCAGAGAATTAGTGCGGAAGCCGCAATGCAGCACCCGTTTTTCACAGACACCTCCTCGTCGGGTCATTAATGTGGCAATCAAAGTTCACTTGTAGTTCTTACGACTGTTTCAATAATATATAATATAATATAATATATAAATTGTATGTATATTTTAGGAACGTATCTTTAGTTATACACATTGTTTTTATCCTCAATTCATTACAATTCTATTAACGTAGTTTTTACCAAATGCCATCAGTTGTAATATTTTAAATATACATTAAGTAAATGTAAGAACCAAAAAAATTGCAACTGTACCTAGTTCACTTAATATTTATAGAGTAAATCTTCATAAATATACATACTGAAATTATAAACAAACCAAATGTCTACAAATAACCACAGTGCCTCGCTTAAGGGTTAATTCTAATGGGCACTGCGCAGTGCGCACTCGCGCTCCATTCATTTTGTTTTTTTTTTTTGTTTAGTTGCTTTTTGTGTTCTTGACGGACCGGTCGCGTTTCGCGCTCGTATATCTAAAGTGAAAACCCCGTTTCTATTTATACATATATGCATTAAAGTGCTTTATTTTGATTGCGATACTCTAAATATTTAATTATCAGGGGTACATTTTATGCGGGGTTTATATTTTAAGTACCCACGGGAAATTGCCGACGATCAAAATCAGCAGGAACAGCAATTCTTACACGATATCGAATATTGCAATAATTTGAGTTTTTAAATATGACTTGGGGCTTTGTTACTTGTGGCCCGAATGAGGCGTTAGTTGTGTCAGGTAAATATTTTGCCAAACAAAAGATAGCAAATTGTTTAAATTTGTAAATAAAATGGGCACAGGGCAGCACCCACCAATGACGTCACTGATTATCGATTTTTGTGTACAAGTAAATTGTGACAGACCGAAGCCGTGCGTGCGCACCTAAACGAACGCCGTTACATACATACATATGTGTTTGCATGCATGTGTGTGTGCGCGGTGCGCGCCTGTGTTTTGTATGTATATAGGGTTGCCGGTGTATTTGTTTTGTTTTGAGCAGATTGTAAATATAAAAGTATAATTATTTCGATTGTTAATTTTAATTTTTCCTAGGATGCTGCTATATGAAGCCTTTGTTGGTGCCTGGCGGTCGGGCCTTTGTTTGGCCATCGATTCAACAAGTACAACGGTAATTAAAATGACCTTCAGGCATAATGACACAATATAACGGTATTTAATTTCTTTTGTAGCATTTCGTTGAACACGATGACCCTGCAGGTGGAAAGCCCATGCGTGTACACTAGCCAAGGTGTGCCCATCTCTGTGACAGGGATTGCCCAGGTGAAGGTACAGGGTCAAAACGAGGATATGCTGTTGACTGCCTGCGAGCAGTTTCTAGGCAAATCTGAGGCAGAAATCAATCATATTGCTTTGGTCACACTGGAGGGACATCAACGAGCGATCATGGGCTCCATGACCGTCGAGGAGATCTACAAGGATCGCAAGAAGTTCAGCAAGCAGGTGTTTGAGGTAGCCTCCAGTGATTTGGCCAACATGGGCATCACAGTGGTCTCCTATACCATCAAGGACTTGCGCGACGAGGAGGTGAGTTTTTCCAAAGATTTGGGTGATGGTTGCATTAGATTTCACTCTTTGGGCATGCGTTTGAGATATAATATAAATGTAGGACGCGTCTTTCGTTTCAATTTTTGAGTAACCGAAATATACATATTCATTATTTTTGCATGCGTGTACATATCGACTCATGGTTTAACTAACCAGGGCGACTCCAAGGTGCGTATAGAGTTGTTCCTTCTTGTGGAGTCCCTTTAACTGCGCATTAGAAACCATTTTTAATACGCATCATTTATTTTTCTTTGCAGGGTTATCTGAAATCTTTGGGCATGGCTCGCACTGCTGAGGTAAAGCGCGACGCCCGCATTGGCGAAGCAGAAGCTCGTGCTGAGGCGCACATCAAGGAGGCTATTGCTGAGGAGCAGCGTATGGCTGCTCGTTTCCTTAACGACACCGACATTGCCAAAGCACAGCGCGACTTTGAACTGAAGCGTGCTGCCTACGATCTTGAAGTGCAGACAAAGAAGGCCGAAGCTGATATGGCCTATGAGCTGCAGGCGGCTAAGACCAAGCAGCGCATTAAGGAGGAGCAAATGCAAGTGAAGGTCATTGAGCGCACCCAGGAGA